CAATATACAGGTTTATATATAAGGATATTTATATCAGTATTAGTTATGACAGTAAGAATTAAAATCAATCAAATAATATGCTTATTCAATTGGTTAAGTAAATTAAGGGAATAGTTAAATAAATTGAGGCACATTTATGCTGTGAGACATTGTGCTATAGTTAAAACTGTTTCTGAAGAACATTTGATGATATAAAAAATATCTTCATGATAATTTTAAATGAAAGGAGTAGGGGGAAAACTGATATAACTTTATTTAAAAATATACATGTTATATATACATGTATATATAACATGTATATATACATGTATATTATATAAAACAAGAGGCAAATTTTGTAGTATTAATGGATGTATTAATGTTTCAATCACAGCTTTGACAATACGAATTGCATGCTTCTGGGCAAGTTACATATTAGCCTCTCCAGATTTATTTTCTCCCTCGTAAGATGTGAATATTAACTAATTTGCCAGATTATTTTAAAGATTAGAAATAATATATAAAAGCACCTAGTGTATAACTGGTACTTAGTAAGTTGTAGCTAATATTATTTGATTATTTTTATCTTTATGAAATTCTGAAACCTTTGAAAATGTCAGAAGTCTTGAAAAGATTTTGTTCTGTTTAGCTTTTAATTAAAATTAATGGTTCACTGTTAATAGATTTTAAAAAGGAAATAAACAGAAAAATGAAAAAAAGAAAATGGAAACAGGATTAGATGATGAGAAAAAATTACTGTTGAGGTATATGTATTTATTAGCACTAGTGCATTTTACTTAAATGTGAATCTAAAAATAAAAGAATAGGATACAAAAGATTTGGGCTTTAATCTAAGGTAGACCTACGATGAACCTTCATGTAGACTGTTATAATACCCTGAAGCCTGTTTCTTTTGCCTCCCTGATGGTTTTTACATGATGTGAATACTATCATTGTAATGTGATCTCAGGAGAGTTTGCAGCTGAGTTGTATCCTTTACTGTGGTAAAATCTCAAATGGTTGACCCTTTTACTTTCTCCTCCTTTTTTGACATCACCATCGATACTGTTTTTATTAGGCACCTATAGGAACTATTCTAGTGTCTTTAAAATTCAAACAAGAAATATTTATTGAGGGCCCATTATGTACTAGGCACTGTGCGAGGCAC